AAAGGAAAAAAAGAAAAATAAAGAAAAGAGATATACAATGAAATGACTTCCCCCTCCATCCAGTGAAGGACAGGAAGGCCTGGCGCAATATGGTTCATGAGGTCACGAAGAGTCGGACACGGCTTAACAACTGAACAACAACAACAACAACAAAGTGATAATCCTGGTTCAATTTCAAACCAGATCTGCAAGATAGAGATCATCATACACATATACTATGCATTTGAGCTTTCTTCTATAACTGCTGTTTGATGTAGTTTCCTGGAGAACAGCTACATTATAATATTCATACTGACTTACCTGGCATCCTCAGGTAAGTTGAAAGGTCGGCTGAAGTCGTGTTGAAGCACTCTTTTCTGGTGGATAACAATCCCTTCAGGTGCCTAGAAGAAAATTTTTTTGCTAGTGCTGAATAACAAGATAAGGCTGTGTACTAGTGAAGAATATCAACTCAGCCTCTGATTTTGTGTCTATAACAAAATGCCCAGCAATTACATCACCGGAATATCAAATCATTCTGTTCCCCAGAGTGGACCACTGCTCTTTACCTGAACTAGTGCCCTGCATTGGTTGAGAAATACAATGCAAGTTTAATCTAACAAAGAGCCAGACTTTGTTGAATTATATGATCTGTTAATTTATAGTCCTGCAGATAGGCAGACATACCATAGATGAACTTTGGTAGAATTGTGGTAATGTCAGATAGGAATGAAGAGAAAAGTTAAGGATTTAAAATAACCTTTAGAGAAGACATTAGAAAACTGTGGGCCCCTCCAGTTTGAAATGAAATTGGTAATGCAACCCCACACGAGTCTGATGTCTTTGGTCACTACATCTCAAAAAGTCTATCATGGAACCGAGGAAGGTACAAGAAAGCGAACCCAATGCAATCCGGAGGTTAAGGGAACTATTCCCCATGGAACGATTATGAGAGCTGGGCTTTTTAGCCTTAGAAAAAGGCAACCGGGAGGGGATAGAGTAAATGTGTGTAAAATTATATATGGTAGGAGAAAGGAAAAAAGGAAGATGCCTTCATCACACTTGAACCCAGGGTAATTCAATGAGCTGAATGATGGAAGATTCAGGGCAGATAAAACAAAATACTTTTTCATTGTGAAATTAAGGAGAAGATACAGCTATGACTCAACAGCATTAAAAGGAAATTATGTTATCTCCTGTATTAGAGGCAATATGTCTCTGAATATCAGTTTCTGGGGAATAAGATTAAGAGATGAAAATCTAGAAGTCTGGCGTATTATCCAAGGTATCTTTTATGAAATTTATTTTATTTTGGGGTGTGGAAGGTGAGGTGCATTTCTAATTTTAAAAAGGTTCCAGAGCAGTATAAAATATAGATTTACAATACTGAAACATATGAGTTTGTGTTGGGACTGTTACTCTTTCTATTTCTAGCCATCATGGTCACAAAACCCAACCTTTCTGACATAGAAAGCTGTAGCCTGAAGAAACTTTCATGAAACACTTATCAATTCCTGCTTATACCCACCTACATTATAGATGATTTTATCCACCCACTTATTCAATGTCAGTATAGATAATTTAACAGTTATTTTAACTGTTGGATTTTTCCAGATGACCAACCTTTTCATCTCCCAAAATGCATGAGGGCTTCCTATATTACAGAGAAAGAAATCAGTGGCAACATTTAGAGCATCTGTGATATTGATGCTTTTGGTGAGAATCTGTTTGATAAATTTCCAATTATTTTATATGTTTCATCTTTTATTTCTATTGGTCTGAATTGTTAATCTCTTTTCTAATGGAGCAGCTCATCAATGTAGAAACATATTAGAAAGAAATGATCTTTTGATTTGTCATCCATCTGCAAGAAATATAAAGTTGATTGTGGAATCTACTTCTGTCTCATTCAGGAAGCAAACTTTTACTGGTCTAAAACCTACATGAATAAGGTTATTTTCTACCTTCAAAGAACTAGATCTTCTGCTTGTTTCTATATATTCTCTAAAGCCCAAGGTTGCTGCCAACAGCCAGCTCAGAATATTTCAGAGCATTCAGTCACTGGCATTGTGGCAGAGTTGGCAGGGGAAATTTGCTAACACTTTGAAAGTGTGAAAATTATTTTCATCTGCAGGATGTTATTTTTCAGTTGGCGTGACCATTTTGTGATGTTGCTCTTATTAATTTGAATTTATATTTTTGTTCATCTCACATACATGAGCGGGGCAGCTAGCCATAGCCAATGGAATCCCATGTTCTTCCGGGAGGCTCTTTGATGCAGATCTGATCATAAAAAAATAACCACAATTGCTAGATACAGGCCACATCCCTATGTTGTGACTGAAGTGTTACATACTGTACATGTACTGTCACCATGATCTCACCTGAAGTCGGACAGCTACAACTTTATCCAGTGACATCAGGTTATGATCCGAAGAAAATATATGTGTATGCACTATAAAAGTAATGAATATGAAGCACGTTGTGAATTAGCATGCAATGGGTATACGTTTATTGCGATAAACTATTCACCCAGGAAAAATCCTCTGCCCAGGGGCCATACAATTTCATGATAAGTGAAGTTTCCAGATCATTTTCAAAGGCAGTATCAGATACAACATACCATAAGAATTGTCTGAGCAGGAAAACTGCCCCCTGGCTATTTCTTTCTGGATAGGCTCTCAGTTGCCCATCCGCCAAACCCAATAACATGTTGTCTGACCTATAGGGGTGAAGCACATGCTAGATTAAATGTCCACAAATTAGAGACCTCCAGAAGAACTCTATCCCTTTCTTATGGGGTTAAATTCCACTCACTCAATAATATCTCTTTTGTAATAATATTTTGTCTAGACTGGGTCTAAGTTTGTGAATCTTAACTTATCCATTATCATTCCCAGGCACTGATTCAGAAAGCTCGTGATTTTACCAGTTTTTGATGAGAAATATACTAACACCACCTCTAAGTAAGTTTCCAGAGGACTCTCTGTCTGATTTTATGTATTGAATCATACGGTTGCAAGATGCCATCTGGACCACGCTGAGATGTCAAAGCAGAATCCAGTAGGGCCACAAAGCATAGCATGCAAGGGCACCCTCTGGAATTGGCCACCACAGTGAATCACTTACAAGCCACCCCTCCAACTGTGTTCCCAAAAGCAACTGGAGTTTAGCAAGAGTGCTGGTCTTAGCAACTGGGAAATCCTACACAGAGGAAATATAGTAGCAGGTACAAGCTGTGATCTGAATTAAACCAACAAAACACCAGTCAGAAGAATATAGCTAAGCACCCCTTCTTCCTTGGTGCTCTTCCAATTCCTGTCATACCTTTCTGAAATGTGTTCAGTTTCTCTCACCAAAGGAATATTAAGCTGGAATGCCACAAAGAAAAGAATTATGTACTGTAACTTTTTTTTCCCCTGAGGCACCGATATGAATTACTTTTGTTTTGTTTTGGCTTTTATGTTTTCATGTATTACAAGGTATGGAAGTCGACACATTCAAAAAGTTGTAAAAGTAGCCCTAAAGGTCTTAATAAAGTGTGTGTGTGTGGGGGGGGGTGAGGTTAGCAATGAAGGAAATGGAACTATTAAAACGCCTGAGGACTACCAGAGATATTGTCAGAGCCCACCATGGAAAAGGCTGTCATTTGAGTGAGCAAAGTTCCATAGTGAGGCTGGCACATTGCCCGTCTGTGGCACTACAAGAGGGCCCCAAACAAAGCAGTCAAAGACCGAGCTGGCACATGCTAAAGAAAGGGCCTAAACAAATACACAGGGTCCAAGTGCTATAGGTCAACCACAATATTCTGAAATTGGGCTAGGCAGAAGTAGAGAGCCAGTGCAGTTCGCAGAAACACTTATTCAAGAACAGTTACATGCACTGAATCACGGCATATTGTGTCAGCCCTCTATGGTCAAAGTAGCCATCAAAAAGTCCAAAGCCACCCCTCCTAAAAAAAAAAAACCCAGCAAGGAGTGAAATCCCATAAGACATAATCTGAGGGCATGCGACCACAGCACACAAGGGCATCTCCTTTCCAGCTTTGATAGGAAGATAAACTGGCAATGGGATGGTGTGGTGGTGGTGGAACAAATTAGCACGATGCTCTTTTGTTCTTGGCTACCACTAAGGACAAACAGAATTTGCTCCTAGACAAATCCATTTCCTAGTCTGAGAAACAGAATTCCCATGGACTGCTGCAATGTCTTCTACCAACCCGTTCTCCTGTGTTGATACTGCATTGAATATTCCAAGGGGCAAGAATAAGTAAACTCAGCAGCTCCTTGTCTCTAGTTCATTCAGCTGGGTCTCCATAATATTCATAAGCAAGACCGTTCCTCCATGATCACTGGTAGATTGATTTGGCAACAACAGCATAACTAAGAAGGAGGACAAAAAGTTGCCAGGATTGTCCATGTCTTGTAGGTTGGGATGGGACCAGAAAAGGAAATAACCGTCAACTGATTAAAATAAATGGCCAGGTTATTTGCTGGACTGTCTCTACCTGAGGGTATCTGCAGGTTGTACAGGGTGGGTGCACTCCAGGTCCCTTCCCTTAAATGTTGGCATCTGGTGGGACCTTGGAGGTGTGTCGTTTCTGTAGTTGTCCTGACCCTTTGGAACGGCCTCCCCACTGAGATTTGGAGGGTCCCCACCCTATTAGCCTTCCAGAGAGCTGTGAAGACCTGGCTCTTCACCCAGGCATTGGGCTGGATGGAAGTGAGTCTAGCAAATGCAAATGTCAATGTGCAGTTGATGGGATGGTGTCCTGCTGTAATGGGTAATGTGATGTTGTTGTGGGATTTTGTGGGTTTTATTTATTCTGATTTGATGAACGTTATTGAGAGCTGCCTAGGATTGTCATGTACAAGAGAGGTGGCCATTTAAATTTTCTGAACAAAATAAATAAATAACCCCCCCCCCTTCTTGTATTAGTCATTCTAAAGCTAGCAGCACATCTGTCACTTTCTACCATCCATATACCACTAAGGGCACCCCAACCACTCCCTCCTAATCCAGGAGCATGTCAGATCTGCTCCTCCTTGAGAAGCACATGTCTACAGGGTGGCTCCAAGCCCATGGAGAGACAAAATAATCCTGATCATGCCAACTGCAACAAACAAAATGTAAAATAAATGCAATAACTCTATAACCACTAAAATGCAATTGCAGAAATATAAGTGTAAGTATAAAATATAAACTGATACCGTGATCAGAAGAGGTATCAGTGCCCGAATATTAATTTCAACCCCTTATCCAATTCAGTGTCATTTCAATTACTTAACGAGGAATAACACATAAAAGAAGGTTTAAAAAAATACAACCCAAATGTATTAAACCAGGCTTTCAGCCAGTTGCATACACTATCATCCACTCACTTCCTACTCTAAGGATGAGAGCCAGAGTGGTGTAGCAGTTCAGGGATGGGTCTGATATCAGAGAGACCCAGGTTCAAGTCCACCTGTGGCTGCAGATGCTCCCTAGGTAACTTGGGGCTGGTCACATCCTTGGTGCCCAATCTACCTCAAGGGGTTGTTATGGGGAAGAATGGGAGAAGGGAGCAGTATGTACACTGCCTTGAGCTCCTGAATGAAAACAGGCAATAAATCAAATAAATAAGGCTTTCATAAGCTTCCTTCCATCTCATTCCACAACTGAAAGTGTCTCCCTCCAGACTTCCCAGTTCTCACCTGGGAATTCTTCCTAACCCTATAAACAAAACAATGGCAATGATAATGATGAAATCAGGCTGGATGACACTAATCCCTAAGGAGATTCCATGTCAATGTCCATTCAGGGACAACTGAACACAGAATGTTTTACCGAAAGAGCCAGGCCTGTAGATGTCTTTGTCTGTCTTGATGAAGATGTAGCCACTGTGCAAGGCAGTTAGAACAACTTTATGCAGTATGAACTGAGTACATCTGGCTTCTACAAGCACATACTGGTTTTGCTTTGATTCTCGGTTCATCTGTGAAGCAGCAATCTAGAAGGGGAGAGGAGAGGTTAGAGAAATAACCTGTTTATTTGATAGGAAGACAATACCTGAACTTAAGATAACAATCCTGCACAAAAAAACAAACAACAACAACAAAAACCCACAATCACAATAATCACAGATTAAAAAATCTTGTGCAAATCACCACTTTCCCTTTCTTGCTGACCCAAGAGTGTCATCTCCCTAAATGGTTGTGAATGTTTGTGACACACTTGTATGTGTGTAGCCATATATCTCTCTTGTTTATGTTATGTAGAGTCACCCATTGGGGGGAGATGGGTGGCATACAAATTTAATAATAAATAAATAAATATATATCAGAAGCCCCATTCCCCCCAAAGGCCAAATATTATATATGTACAGTACATACATTCACACACACACAATTAAAGTTTACTGCCCATAAAGTTGTCAGCCCTTCAAGGTAGTCTAGACAAGAAACCAAACCATGAGTACTAACACTATCTTTATTGTCAGGTTACAGTAACAGAATCTTTCAAGTCTTATAGTAACAGAATCTTGCAAGCACATCTCTTCCTTACAGGTAGTCCTCACTAAACATCCACAATTGGGACCAGAAACTCGATCACTAAGCAACACAGTTGTTAAGTGAGACGTCACATGACCATGCCTGACTTATGATGTTGCTTTTCGACACTGTCATTAAGTGAACCACTGTGGTTGTTAAGTGAGACATCACATGACCACGACTTGTGATTTCACTACCAGCTTCCCCATTGACTTTGCTTGTCAGAAGCTGGCAGTGAAAGTTGCAAATGGTGATCATGTGACTGCAGGATGCTGTGACCATCATAAAAGCATGCCGGTTGCAAAGTGCCCAAATGGCAATCATGTGACCATGGAGATGCTGTGACAGCTGCAAGTTCAAGGACCGATCATAACTTTACTTTTTCAGCACTGTTGTAACTTCAAACAGTCGCTGAACAAAAGGTCAGTAAGCGAGGACTACCTGTACTTTCCAGGGAACTAGGGAGGGTCTCTTCTGAGATGTTTACCATGCTTCCATTCCTTCTGCAGGCTGAGATGTCTCTTATCTGACCATTGCCCTGGCTGTGGCTCTTCCTCCTCCTATCTCACAAGGAGATTCCCATAGACCATTACAAAAATAAAGTACTCCATACATAAAATTCATTAATAAGCAGCTGCAGAACCAGCACATAAATGCTCATCTCTAATTCTAGACAAAGATACCACCTGTTTACTAAATCTTTGCTTGGATCACTTAGGCTGCCATGACAGGATGGTTGCTAGCAAGGAACTGACTGACGTTTAGTCAACTAACTGACAAGGGACTTCTCAGCAACTCTTCTTTAATAAGATTTATTGAAACAGAATGGAACATGTCCCAGACATTTCAGCAACTGGATTACTTTCACTTTAGAACCCAATATATCTTTGTTAGGGCAAAGACTTCAGCTTCTCAGCCGGTTCTTCCTGGGAACTGGGGAGCTGGCTGCTCCTGTCCCAGAAAACTGAAGATTTTCAAGTGGTAATTGTTTTCCCAGCCAACTTCAGATTACTTACTAGGCTGTGAACAGACCATTACATGTGGACATTACAGAGGACCCAGAAGCATATCTTTAATATCATCTAGTGAAACCTGAGGAAATAAGCTATAGCAAGGGTAAGAAATGAATAAAAAATACCCCATATTTTATCTTTAACTCTTTTGTTCTCTGCCTTTCTTTCTGATTATTAGTTCTTGTTTGCTTTCACCTGTATGCTTTTTAGAACTTAATAAAGTTCTAATAAAAAAGTACCCCATATGGATAGAGGTGTACTATAACTGTATATGTTGATCTCATTACTATTCCTTTCCAGATTTTGCGTGCCCATAAAAACCGAAGAGCATAATTCTGCTTTAGTTACTGAGTGGCGGGGTACATCCTTGATTTCACTTGTATTTGGTTGCAGTCCCCTCCTTTTTTGTATTTTATTCTTACAAGCCTCTTTACTGCTTTTAGTGATATGGCCTTGAAGACTATGATTACAGATTTACCTTGATGACAGCAGTAGCCATCATGCCGTTTGCGGGATCCAAAATAACCCTGGTTTTGTATAGTTCAAGAGACTTCTCTGGGAAGTTGAAAACAGTGATTATGACATTTACTGGGATGTTGAGCCCATGAGCTTCCAGTACGATCTTTTCTTCACAGTCGGTCCACAGAACGTTAGGCAAGATGAGGGAGTACCTGGGACAACAAAGATGCCATGCACTGAAACGGTTGGCTCTGAAAGAGCAGCCCACACCTCCATGCTGTCTTTCTGAACTTCCATGCTTTCGCAAAGCCAAGAAAGAAGCATCGCATAGAATGGCAATGCTCACCTTCATCAACGCAACAAGATATGAGAAAACATGCTAGCCAGTGTCTAAGGGAGCAAGTGGTTCAACCCCAATTTGACCACACACCTCAGTGGGTGACTTTGACTAACCACTCTCTCTCAATGCATCTTGTCTCACAAGGTTATTATTCTGGGGATAAAATGTGGGGAGGCATCCATGTAAGCTGCCTTGAGCTTCCAACACAAATGTCATAAAATAATGTGGGACATATTGTGGCAGACATTATGCTGGTTCATGAGAATAATAAAGATTGGCTTGATTTTGATTTGAAGGTAGCAGGTACAGTTTCTAGAGAAACTTCTCAAATTTATTTTTGCTAAGGGAATATGGATGCAGAGCTAAAAGATCATATGTACAGAAGAACGGACATAAGTGGATGGGATGCTTAAACACTTTCTGGCCCCATGGATGTTCTCCTGAAACTGACCCTGTTCAGGCTCCAATGGTGTTAAAAAAAACCTGGGGGTTATTACAAGGAAGAATTATTGGACAGGTGGCAAAAAGGTAAGCTATTTTCTATCAGCAAATGCTTCCTAATTTGTCATTCTAGACAAATAAACTGGTCCTATGCACAGGAGAGAAATGATTCCAATACTATCAAGATATATTCCAGCTATTTCAAATATGAAAGAGGAACAGGACTGGATTTTTTAAAAAGTATCCAAAAATGAAATTAAGCTGTGTGTAGGATGTATTTTTTTTTACTTAATTTTTATTTTCTATCTTTTGTTCTCCCTCTCCTTTTAATTCTTTCAGCTTTATCTTCCTCCATCATTTCACTGTCTAAATTACTCATAATTTGCCCTGTGCAAACTAGGGGCAAGGTAAAAGCTTTAGATGAGAGACAATGTTGGTCATAGAAATAGCTCTCATAGGGCCACCCTGTAATCCAATTGGCTAACTCTCTTGATGGTTACTTTTAACATTAAAAAGAGAAACCAGGGGAGGGAGACAGAATCATAGTCTAGCTCTCAGTAGTAATGGATGAGGATGGCATTCTCTTTGGTAAACAGATCCCTGTTGAGAGGGTTCTGTGTGCAAACACTGAGAAACACCCATTCGTTGCAGGATCCCAACCTCTGTACATCCAGAAAAATCAACACATATTTAGTAGCTGATATAGATGCTAATTAAATAATAGCTATGGAATTCACCAATATGGCTAAATGAAACTTTTGAGAAAAACAACGCCTCTGTATACCAGATTCAGGGAAAGACTTTCTCCATCCAGTCTGCTTTTAGAGTTTTTCAAAAGCAACTGTTTTGAGACAGAAGGCTGGACAAGGGGCAGGTCCTCCTCCCACTCTCATCCCATTGCAATGCATCCTGCACCCATGTTTCCAGATTCAAAATGGCTGTTTTCTGACCTGAACTGTCTTAAGCCCTTTAGAGCAGATGGTCTCCATCACTTTGCAATCTTCATTCTATCCTAGTCGCAACCCCAGCTCTGGTTGGCCACAGTGCCTGGCCCTTCCCTCCAATATCTGAAAAGGCAGACATTGGTAGACTAGCCATACCAGTGAGGCTTGTCTTCCTTGCATGGAAGGGAAGGGCAAGAAGTGGGGGAATAACCAACCAGGTTTTGCCATGGCTGTAATCCAGATTGAGCACCAGCACAGTCCCATTGCCATCCTCCTGCAATCCAGACTGGAATTTCTGAAAATTCCACTGGTTTAAGAAACAGCAGGGAGGAACATGGGAGACAAGGAGTTTAGGCTGCAGTGCGGAATTGCCCTAGGTGGCCCCCTGTACCAGCAGAACGTCTAGTCTTATGTATTAGTCCACCTTGTTCAAAAAATACAGAATTGCTCTCCACAGTGGTAATGTATTCGTGAGAATGTATATAAGCTTTGGGAGGAAAAAAAGAAAAGAAAGAAAACTGAATTTGATGGACCCCCTCAGCAATGAGAAGTTAGGGTAAATTAGCTTTTCTGGTCAGTGGGCAGATCTCTAGTCCTAATCTTTCCATGCTGGAATGTTCTTATACTTACAGCTGGCTGTAGGATGTAGCTGGGAAGCAGAACATCAGAGCAGCTATTAAATAGAGAGCAGTCCCCTCCATGATGACCTGGAGGGTCTTGAGGACAGATTGTGATATTTTTCCTGTGAGCCTCTCTTTTTAAGCCAAGTCCTTGTGCAAACAATTCATTAGTTAATCAGTAAAATGGGGAAAGGGAGAGAGTTACAGAGCCTCTGGGAGGCAACTTAAAAGAATGCCACTGTGGTTGGGTGGAAATGAAAATCTGACAAGTGACCCATTGAGTTGCTAAATTTGGGTTAAAAACAAACGAACAAACAACAAGGCAAGTTCTTAAGGCCACCCACAAAGCCGTTTTCATTTAAAAGTGGTTTGAGATAAATATTTCAGGTAACTAAACAGGGATAGCTGGGATTAAGTATAGTTTTATCAGCAAGAACATTGACTGGGTCTTTTGCTTGGCAGAAGGACTTACTCAGGGTCACCTCTGAGTAATCTCTAGAACAGATGATGGTAATGCATTTTACAAAAGGATGCTTCTGGGAAGTATTCAGCAATGATAGTACATCATGCTACAGAACTGTGGTTCATAAATGTCACTGGACTACAGCTACCATCATTCTAGAACGATCATAGCTGGGCAGCAAAAATCTGGTAGGGGTTGAAAGATGCCTAAATCTTGGAGATCATACTGAACCAAATAAATCTGACACATCAGATCACTGTTATGACTATAAGCAACTTTTCATGTCCGATATATCTCTGCAGAAAGAAAAGCAGTCTACAACAAAGCAGGACAAGGTATGACAACCTCTGCACTGCAGTGACATCACTGCTGGGTGGTAGGATGGGAGGGGGCTTGTGTAGTGACATTACTGCAGATGCTCAGAAAACATGAAACATGAAATCATGAAAACAAATCTTGGTCCTTGCTTGCCAGCAAAAAACAGGTTAGCTGGCTTGTTTTTGGCTGGTAATTGCTAGTTGGTAATGTGCTGCTGTTTGCCTGTTTTTTGTTCTTTTGCCCATGAGGTTAATTCAAGAGTAATTTAAGCTTTTTTGTTGCTGTGGCTGCCACTTTCTGCTTGGATTTATTTATTTATTTATTTTACATTTTCTGGGAATCAAGCTATGTTAATTGATTTCACTGGCTATAGCGCAGAAGCTCCTGAATTGTTTATATGAACCAGTTCCTCTAAGATTTGGGGACAAAGTAATAAAGACCCAGTGGGAATATATTGTATTCTCTTTCCAATGCTATCACCGAGGGTGGAAGGAAACCTTGGAAGACCAGAAGTTCTGCTCCTCTTTTGCTCCTCACTTGCTCCCTGCAAATAGATTAAATGTCAGTTTGTATTTAAAAGTACTGTCCTTGAGCTCTGCTAAAGCCTGGAAATTAACTTCACAGAAAGATTGTTTGACAGACTTATGCAATCTGCTTTTCAAATAAACTTTCTCAAATTCCTGACCATAAGTAATATAAATGTATTGCAACTGTATATCTTTCAATGTCTAGATTCCATTTCTGTTCAGGAAACCTTGCCAGAAAACCAAGTATTTCGCTGCAAGCAAATGTATTATCATTCTTTCCTAATTAACTCTTCATTCTGAAGGAGTGGATTGATTTTGCAAGCTATAATTATTTATGTGCAGTTCATATGGTGAAAGTTATATCCCGACCATGTGTCGTTTTTGCCTGTTTTCATTCCTGAGACCCATGTAGAGGAACAGCTCAGCAGTGGCAGAATCTATCACTTTTTCTGAGCCTTGAATAAATAACTATCTCTTGCAATCTTGGTGGAAGCCCCAGGTGACATACTGTACTTCTGCCTATCTTATTTGTTTCTTTATTACTTCAGCTTGTATACCATTCCTTTCTGAATTAAAATATTTAAAAAATCAATAAGGTAACAGCAAAAGGGTCTTGATATGAGACCATTTGGGATGTGAGATCTTCAAGTATATTTTCAGAGCTCTGCAAAAGGATAGTAGAGATGGGGTTGTCTGAATATCTGAGAGTAGGCTGTTCCAGAGGGGGAGAGGAGGAGTCATTGCTGAGAAAGTTCAACCATGGGGACCCTGAAGATGGCATTCCCTTGGTTTTGGAACTCAGCAAGCTCTCTAGACTAGAGTTAACTGCACAGGCAGATTCAACTTGGAGAAGGAGGGGTTTGAATTACATCTAGAGAGCTAGTGCGGCTCCTGTGATATTGATGTTGCTTGAGTGCTGCCTGCTAAATCAGCTGAAGCTTCCAAGTGTTCTCTGGGGGCAGCCCCATGTCCTGTGAATTGCAGTAGTTCAGTCATAAGGTGACCAGGGCAAGAGTGACCAAGAGCAAAGTTTCCTGTTCTGCAAATGGTTGCAACTGGAGAACAAGATGCCATTGTGCAAAGGCCGTCCTGGTCACATGTTCAGGCAGGAACTGGGTATCAGGAGGATCCCCAAACTGTGAGCCAGCTCTGTCTGGAGGAAGTTCAACCCCATCAAGAGTGAAGGATGGACTATCTCTGGGAGCAGAGGGCTTCCTTGGATCACTTAAATGGCCTGGAGAAATTGTAAGAGGAAGAATGCAAGGATGTGGTGCCTCTTGGTGGTTGATGTAATTGAAAATACCCCACAGGATATTCTGTACACTGTGTAAAAGTAGAGAAATTCCTCCCACACTGGAGGGGGTGGTGGTGGTGGTGGTAGAAGTCATGTAAACCTTGTGTGTGGGGTCATGACATGATGTAACATCTGTATTTCTCTGCTCTGAGAACTTAAGGGAAAGAGGACTGTATATACCAGTGTTTCTCAAACTTAGCAACTTTAAGCTGTGTGGACTTCAACTCCCAGAATTCCCCAGCCAGCTTGGGAGTTGAAGTCCACACAGCTTAAAGTTGCTAAGGTTGAGAAACACTGGTATATACCATTCTAATAACCAAGAAATAGAGTCAGAATCACAAAGAGAGAAGACTGGAAAAAAAGGAAGAGGATGAAATAGTTCCATATAAGAGAACTGAGACAAAGAAAGGAGAATTAGGAAGATGGACAAAATTTAATTTGCAAACTATTCATATAGCTATTATTTTTTAGTATTGGTTAAATGGTGTTCTGACACTCCATTCCTTCTGGAGGTTGTTGAGCCCCCTGCAACAGATGTGTTTCCTATCCAGCTAGAGTTTCTTTTTCTGGATACATATGAACAAGCAAAAGAAATGATAGTATGTTTATTTGGGCGACTTCTTTGAAACTGCATAATAAAATTGGCCGATCAAGACCACTTTCTCCAAAAGCAGAAGCATTGTACAGATGTGCTGGCAGAGACTGCTTCAGAATAAGAGATACACTCCAAAAAGCCTATATTCTATTAGATTTCCTCCTCTTTAAGGAGTGCCTACAAGGTAATTCAGACGTTATAAAAAAACCACATTCTTGTTTTTACATTCCTACCCTGCAATGTTTGAAAGAACTAGTTATCTTTTCTCCACTCCAGTTTGGAGGGAGGAGTTAGAATCTGCCTTGCCTCCGAATGGGCCTGCAGCCTACTGCGTATGTGTGCTGATAAGCAGAACAAACAACAGCAACATAAAAAGATATGTAGCCAGTTTGAAATACTGTAAATTTAAGCAAAGATTAAAGGTGAAAGTTCTGATATTATAACATATATTATGTAGTAAAAGAAAGCTAGTATATGGGCCAGAACACTTTTAGGGTTAGGGCAATATATCCTCAAGGTGCTCTGATGGTTAACTGCAAAATATTTCATAACATTTATTTTTTTTAACAAAAATGTTTAACTGGCCTGGAATGCTTCCAAGTGAAATATTGACATTCTGTGACTGGCTAAAAAATGGGTGAAGTAGCTCTTTTGAGAGAAGTGATCCCGAACAAGAGATAGAACGTACGGCTGGGAGACGTAGACCTCGCCACTACCGTGCCTTCAGATTCTTGGCAAATTACTTGCAATTTAGCTTCATTTGTTTCCCCTTTTTGTTAAATGGATGTATTGTGACTGGCCATGTCCACAACTGGGACCATTCTGTGAAAGGGCACCTTAGTGGTATCCATCTTGTGAGGGCATCGTTGGCACTCTCTCAAAATTCAGAATGACCCCACTGACTTCTAAAATGTTGAAAAATTCTTGAGTAAGAGAATCCAACTATAACTGTGGACACCTGAGTTCTAATCCTCGATTATCCATGCTACTTAGTGCTACCAACATCATACTGGAGTGGGCACAATGTTGTCCTCCCCCTTGCCCCTGGGTAACTTAAAAAACCAAGGTATATTGCACAAACAGTTGTGGCATTGCAGCTCCATAAGACTGGTCCTAAGAGCAATGACCATTTAGGACAACAGTTGTTGTATTCTTCTGTGAGTCCTCAGAGATAATAAAAGTAATAAAAATAGTAACCAATATGGCCATGCAAAAATTCAGCAGAAGCAGCAGAAAACCTGTAATGTATGGGTTGGGGGGGGGCAGTGGGGAAGTGAACCCTTGCAAGTCTCTCAATTTCATTCAGAGTTGGATTCTGGCTAAGCAGATCCAGTGGAAGTGACACATCCTAGCTTGTTATCTGGGAAGAGTTTGAGCAGGGCAATCCTGAGAAAGTGGACAGGGTCCTTACAGCTGTGAGCTCTGCCACCTCTAGTCTGGACCCATGGCCCTCCTGGTTGGTGAAGGCTTCCTGGGAGGTGGCATGTGGTTGGGTCCAAGTGGTAGTAAATGCCCCCTCTTCAAGATGCCATCCTTGGACCCCATGGTTTTGCCTACCTTCCTCCCTGAGGGGTGGCAGTGCCCTGCCTGAGCTGCTTGATTCTGTGGTGGAGTTGGTGGGGGAGTTCCCCAGACTGTTGGTGCTGGGGGACTTCAACCTGCCTTCTCTGGCCTCAGAGTTAGAGGTGGCCTGGGAGTTCATGGCCTCCATGGCAGCCATGGACCTGGTCCAGCTTACTGATGGCCCAACTCATGGATGTGTGAGTGTCATGCATTGGATTTGGATCTTGGGTGGGCAAGGTGATCTGGGGTTGGGGGACATTAACATCAGTCCCTTGCCATGAACAGATCACTCTCTCTTAGCGCTGGAGTTCTCTGCAGCTGTCCCCCACTGCAGG